TGTGGGTGTGGGTGTGGGTGTGAATGTAATAGTATCAACCATGTACAAATAGATTGCTAGCAGGACGCGTTTTGACAAGTGCCAAACAGACTTATCAATTGCCAAGAAATATGATTGATTTGAATAAAAATTCTCCGACAATGGATCAATAGAGTTAAAAGTTGTAAAAACAACTTTCAAGCTACTACTAATCAGCATAACTAACAGTAGTCGAAAGTCGAAACTTCCAATTAGCTGTAAAAGAGATTCTCGAATAAGTTGGTGTGAATGTAATAGTATCAACCATGTAGAAATAAATAGCGAGCAAGACGCGTTTCGACAAGTGCTAAATAGACTTATCAATTGCCAAGAAATATGATTGATTTGAATATAAATTCTCCTACTGTGGATTAAATAGAGTTAAAAGTTGAATAAGTACAACTTCCAATTATTAAGTTTAAAGTGTTGAAGTGCAAAGCATCACACGACTCGTTTCGACCGCTGCTCATACAGTCTTCATCAGGTATGTTTGGAACTTATAGTTACATAACAAATCAGAACTCACTCGATACTAGTAATTAAGTATTGAGGTAGTTGAGACTCAAGATAAAACAACAACATCCCTATATTTAAATAGTTACATAGAAAGTTTCGAAATTTAAAGCATCACACAACGTGTTTCGACCTAGGGTATCGGTATGGGTGTGTAAGTTTTTTCTTTTCGTACATACACACACGTGCACTATCTATTGTTTCTCTTCATCAGTAAGATTGTAATCGATATTTTATCTCTCATTGTGATAAAACTAAATATCCTGGAACCATTGTTGATGGTTAACTGTCATTCACTTCTCATCTGAATAACATTGAATCTTAAAGTTGAAAAAATTCCACATAATTCTGATTATCTTGCTCGTAGCCGAGTATTAAACAATAGTGTATCTTATTGATTATATAATGCTTATATGACACTATATTATCAATTACTATGTAATAACTAAATAATCCTATAAAACTCTAAAGATACTCATCGTAAAATCGTAAATAGGCAGATGCTTACCGTTATTCATTATTGATATCATGCAGTCAATGATAAAATTTTACGTGTGCTGAAATATAGATCTATTGATAATACTACACAAACAGATTGATGTTTGATTATTCGAACCATTATTACAACAAAATTCGTTCGTATTGTTTGACTTTCTTCCCACAAAACATACATGTTATATATGTACCAGTATTATTATAATCCTATTATACTAAAACAAAAAAAAAAGTAAATGTAGGAAGAACGCGTAAGAAATTCCTAAATTTGTTAAAAATACAACTTGTTTGACTATGGTTTATGTTTCAGAGTATATTATTGCAACCAAATAATTTATTTCTTTTTCCACCTCTGCGAGCTACCCCAGACAAAAAGAAAGTGCCTTTTTCCATTGCATTTTTTCATTACTTAATACTTTGTATTAAAAAACCGAAATATACCACAAGATGCAGCGTGAATCGAACTACAATATACAAAGAATAGTTTATTTTACAATTGCACTTTTTGTTTCCAAAATGGACAAAATTCTGAGTGACTCATTTTGAAAACTTCGAAAAAAAAAAATAATAACTTTTTGGTGTATCCCACTCGCAGCGTAAAATATTAGTCGTAAAGGAGTTTGTCAATTTTGAAAACAAAAAGTACATGTATAAAATAAGTTTTCTAAAGTAAATTGTAGAGCTTTTCACGCTGCATCTTGTGGTATATTTCGGTTTTTAATACAATCTATTGAGTAATGAAAAAATGCAATGGAAAAAAGCAGTTTTTTGTTTGTCCGAGGGATTGTTTATTAACTATTGTTTCTTTCTTTCTTGCATATGCTGCATTTCTTCTTTATGTCACTCAACAATTAACTGTAAGTTCCCTTGTTATAGTTTATTTCTTTTTTGTGGCTTAAGGGTCTTTTTTTTCATATTCTGCTGTATATTTTTTTTTCTCTCATTAAAATACATATGATTTTCTTTTTCATGTCACCACAACAGAATTCGTCCATGACAACGAAGGTGAGAATATGCCAAACACTTCAAAATCTAAAGAAAGAAATACTATATATATATATATATATCCGTACAAACTCAAGTATACATGTATATGATCATTCGAGCAGAACACTTGCTGTCTACATCATTGAGCGCAATAGATTCGATCGTGTTATATGTACAGCTATGTAATTATATTAGTCTGGTTTAATTAGGAAAGACGGTCCATCATACTATAATTTCTACCATCTGTCAATGAAAATAGAAACAAAAAAAAAGACAAACTATTTGTATCTGCGAAATTGTGCTCTTCAATCGTGATGTCCTTGAAAAAAAAATAGATCATAGTGTCCTTCATTCACTGAATTCAATTTTTTCTCATTTATTTCGTCGCGGCTGACTATATCAATACAAGGAAAAAAAACTGATCACTGTCAGATATGAACTACTATATATATAGAACGACTTCTGATCAGTCTGTTTCATATTCTGTTGATCAACATTGAAACTATACAATACTCAATTCTTTAAGTTTTAGGTAAGATTATGAAATTTTTGCTTCGTTTTTTTTTCTATTAGTCGGCCTTATTTTTAAATCGCCACCACCACCGCCATCACCATCATCACCATTAGTACTAATACAGAGAATATATCTTATTGCTCAAGTCATTTTTGTGTTTGTTCATTCATGCATACAAAAAGTGAGAGACAAAAAGAAATGGAGAGAAAAGCTTAGATCATAAGGATCGATTGAACAATATTATTCTTGTTAATCACCAAGAGAACCGAGCTATTGTCCGAAATTGTATTATATGCATATATTCATTGTAATCGAGTGTGTAGTATATTGTATCGCTCTCTTTGTATTGTCATAAATACTTTTCTATAGAGCACGAATAAATAGTTTGAGCAAAATCCACACAGGAATAGGTGTGTAGTATAATCAATATACAACACAAACGACGCTTCATAAGAGTGCTTCCAAGCTTCGGAGTGGCTTCAAGTTTGTTGACAGGCATCATCTTTTAGTGAAATAAAAGGGTTTCCTAGTACTGATTTTGGTGGTGATGTATTAGTTTTATTTGGCGGCTACTAAAGAGTCCTAGTAGCTATGACAAACTTGCAATTGGTCAGATTTTCCTAGATCGGCATAGATACCGGTAGAAACTGTTCAGGCTGGATCGAACCGGTCAGTAAATCAGCATAAGTCATTGTTAATTTCTCCCGTCGTGAAAGGTATTCTTATGCCTTTGGATGAGTTATATCTACCAGTGAATTACTATGGTCACTACTTGTGACTTAACTATCACTGTTAAAGTGTTTTGTGAAGTCTGGCTACCAATGAGTGTTAACGTCCAAGTAGCAATAGAGAAATTCAAAGGCGTATCGAACTTTACGAAACTTTAGAACCGAAGTCTCAATCGTTTCCTTCTTGATCAATTTACACAAAGAGACCAATGGTTCCATATTCTTACATTGCAAGAACAAACCGATGCAAAGATGTGGCTACTATTTTAACCTAGTAACAAAGAGTTTGATGTCTGGGACAGCTTGGCGAGTTTGCGACATACTGCCTTTTGGTTTCGCGACAATCCATTATTTAAATGATGACCTTTTCCACATGAGTTTCTAACATAGTCATAGTAGTTTTGTTGCTTTTAACATTTTTATTCTGCAAAGATTGCGCTGAAAACTTGTTATTAACTATTGGTTGCTATAGGTTTTCTGTCTTTTGACAATTAGAGATGGATTTAAAATTGCAGATTTACAAATTCTGTATTATTTTTCCATATCAATGAAACATTTATCGGACAGAAAATTTACGAATCAAATGCAGACATATCAGTGTCTTCAAATAGGTTTATTTTGCTATCTACTTTAACTTTACGAAAGATATTGAATGAATCATACGAAACGAAAACAGTTTTGTTACAAATTACAATGACAAAGTGATACCGCCGTGTTTCGATGATATAGCTTTCGTATGTAAGTGATTTGGAGTCTATGGGCTTTTTTATTTCAAACTGAATTCTAAAATCAAAAAAACCACACCAATTTCTTCCGAATCAAACTTTTCTCGCTTGATACTACGTAGTCTCACTAAAAACCCTTAGTCCCCCTAGTCCTGCAAAGTCCCCCTTAGTCCCCCCCACAAAAAGCTTAGTCCCCGCTTAGTCCCCTGTGCAGGGGACTAAAGCCTATAGTACACAAAACCACAAGCACACCCTCACCCTCATTCGCGCGCCCACACCCGCACCATGGGTGTGGGTGTGTGTGTGGGTCCCAGACCAACACCCACACCCTCAGTCACCCCCCCCTCACTCCTAGACTCACGTTTCAGTTTGAAATCAAGTATTATTTTTATTTGATAAATTCAGACTGAAATTAAATAGCCCATTGTATGGTGATTTGATATAAAATACTATGTACATTTTTGTGGATACTACCTCGATGGAAATATTCTAATCCATGTTTCTGGATAGTAATGGCTATTAATGCAATAAAACTAGTTTTATATACAAAACTAAACATTTGTATTATCCATTTATTGAAAAAAAAAGTATTCGAAATTTCGAAAAAGTATTGAACAGCCAATCCGATTTAGAAAAAAAAATGTTTCTACTGGCTGGTAAGGAATCGTAGAACAGATCAAACCGAGCCGACCATTTGCCGTTACCAGCTATATGTCTGTATTCGGGAGTCAACGCTAGCTTTTAAAGTACATCTTTCGGAGTTTAAGGCTTGGTAAGAGGTTATATAGCTCAAATAAATTGTTTCGCTAACAATTTCAGTGGAGGGGCAATGTCTAGTCGTGACAGATTATTTGGTATTGAAATGAATGCTTATGGTGGTGCTGGAACGGGTGCGTATGGTAGTCCTGGAATGGGTGTTATTGGCGCTAGTGGACTGGGTACTTATGGTGCTCCTGGAATGGCTGCTATTGGTGGTGCTGGAATGGGTACTAT